GATCATTTATTTTATCCATCCCCCATCCTCCCACCTACCTACCTACTTATTTATCTATCGTCCTATAAATTACCAAGTATTTATTTAGCACTCATGTGGCATATCCTGCTGGGTGGGAATGAAGGGACCAAAGAATAACCACACTGAAGTTAAATGCAAATGAAGGTCCAGCAGGATAGGTAGAAAGTCACAGTGCTATATGGAAGGAGCCTTACAGAGGGTAGGCAAGTTCTTCACCAGAAGTGAAAAGCCAGTCAGTATTTCTGAAAGGGGTGAGGAGACAGCTGATCTCCAGGCACTGGACACAAGGCTTCAGAGACGAGCTTTTCACCCCAACAGGTACCTGGGAAGCCCTCTCAGCAGACATGAGCCAGGTTACATTAAAGGGAGATTATTTTTGGAAGAGAGAAGTAGTAGTAGTTAGCATGAAAGGAGTTTTCAGGATACGTTTCATATAATTACAGCCCTAAGTGCTAGGACCTATTAAGGTATCTTGGCCTTTCAAATTTTTTCCCCTTAGCTTCTGTGTTCAGTTAGATACACTTTTATAATAAACTTACTGGGTTATTTACTTAAAAAAATTTGCAGGTGTTTTAAAATTTATCTCACTGTGTATAGTGAAACAAGAGTTCAGTGATCAATTCTACCCTCAAGCTTAGGGTGAATACATAGCTTTCTGGCTGATCTAAGATTGACTGATCATTGTTCCAAGACAATCTCTCAGAATTGTTTGAGCAGCATGTGGAATAAGTGAGGTAACAAATCCTTCAGTCTACCTAAAATTCCAGACTCCCTTCATCTTCTAATTTTATTTATGAATGCAAATACACTGATGTTCAGGATAAATAAGGAGCACCAGTTTCCAAATGCATTAGAGAAGTTCATCTCAAAGATAATGACCAGTGGAAAGAGGTGGTGTTGGAATACTTGGACCAGCTGGGAAATACAATATGGCATAAGAAACTAAAAATGTGTAGGAACAAATATATGGACTTAAGGATTTATGGACACATTTTAGGTAGCAAAGGTGAAATAAATTAACCTGCAAAGGACTTGTATAATCTATATCATCACATTAAACTAATCCTCTCCCCACAGGAAATAGTATTATCCCCTATTTGGGACTTCTCACCTGACCCTTTTCCTATTCAGATGTCTTGGATTAGAAAGCCACAATAAATCCTGCTAGAGGAATCAGATTCTCTACTAAGCAAAACCCTAGCTTTGTTGAGTTGGGCCATGTTAACGAAGATGATGTCAGATAATCAGCAATATGAATTTATTAAACCCCAATTTCTTAAAGGCAGGTAATGTAATTAATTTTAATTATTTAGTTTTAATGGTCTTGAGGGTGTTTTAGAATTTACTTCAGTTACTAAGAACCCTCCAACAGAATCAGGCAGAATGAGGACTCCAGTGTGCAGCTTCTGTCTTCCTGTCGTCCTCCTAGATCCTCACATCATTATCCTTAAGAGACATAAGTTTTGGAAAATACAATTTCCCATCCTCATTACTTTGGTCTCTTTTCTTGTTTTCCAGCAGTAGCTGGACAGAGGAAGCCAAAAATATCCCCATAAACTTGAGGGAGACAACAATCCTGACAAAATGCAGTGAGATGAAAAAACTTATGAAGATTAAATGCTATAATTAGCAAATTAGTAACTCCAGAGGGGAGTTTTGGACCTACCCATCAACCACTGGGAATATTGCTGATGTTCTGAGGGCTGCAAAGAGAACTCTGGAAGGACTAAATCTCTCATGATGACTGATAAGAGTTATTTTTCTGATTGTTCTGGAGCTACACCATTTAAATGTTTATAGATTTTACAGTTTATTTGCACTGGAAATCATTGCAAACATGTAATCATTTAGGTTAAGATGAAAGGGAGAAAGGTGTCCCTATCATAGTCATCTCAACATCACTTATTAAGTGAGTTACTTTTCCAGCCGTTGATTTGAAATCCACTCCCCCCACCCCCTACTCCATGTCACTTTCTTTTTAAGTAATACATTTAAGGTTGCAATTATCAGCAGACTGGGAGCCTTCCTGCCATGGCAGGATAAGAATTATGCTGCTAATATGGTTTTATAATCACAAACTACAAATGGCCTTAAGCTGAAACTGAACTTGTTGGCTCAGTTATATGAGAAAGAAAACCACAGCATCAACCTGGCTGGAAACAGAAGTTGTTATACTTGGCAAGAATTTCACAAATCTTTGAATAAGCAATACTTAAATAACCCTGTTCATAAGCAAACTCTGAAACTTGGGGGTTTGATTGTAAAGCTAATGCTTCGGGATGGGTCTATACAATGAAGGTCTGCCCCAAATTGACATATCATCATCCTGAGCTTACCCTCTGGTTGAGGATAATCACTGGGAATACCTGCATGGTAAATTGTTCAAGCTCAAGTAAAATCGCCTCTATGGATCAGAATTCTGAGTACTTAGTCAAAATTTATGCAAGGGCCTGAGCTCATTCAAAGCTGTTTAGAGGAAAGTTTTAGCCCCATGGAAAAGACACCAGAGAGGCCTCTGATAAAGGAGTCGACTGGGCCTGTGGGAGTCAACGTCAGTTGGACTCATAACTGCTCACATGGAGAAGTGAGCTCTGCTACCTGTCCTCTGGCATCTTACGTACTGGGTGTCTCTAGGCAGTAACTGAGAGTCTGGGTATTTTTCACACTCATTTACAGAAATCAATTAGGACTCGAATGCAAAACTAGCATGTGTCAAAGAAGCATGCTCCAACCCACAGGTGACTGTCCATACATGATATATGATACAGAAGCGATGCACTCTTCTATTACCCCAGTTTTAATTATCTCAGTCCTGACTATTCTGAGTCAAGACTTAAGGTTAAGATAGCTTTGCTATTTACATCTTTCAGAAAAGAGTGGATGAAGACTCTGCCTGTCATACTACTATCTCTTATAAGGGAGTTTCTGGCCTACAGGTGAGATAAATAGATGGTTCCAGGTATCTAGTACATTCTTCTGTTTGCCTTACTGGTTACTCTACAATATGTTTTATTTATATTTAAACATTGTTAGCTCCTTTTCTATTTATTTATTTGTTTATTTATTGGTTCTTTTTATATATGACAGTAGAATACATTTTGATATAATGATACAAACATGGATTATATCTTATTCTAGTTAGGACCCCATTCTTGTGCATATACATGAATGGATTCACTGTGATGTCTTCATATATGTGCATAGGAAAATTATATCTGATTCATTCTACTGTCTTTCCTTTTCCTATCTCCCTCCCTTCACTCCATTTCCCACTGTCTACTCTACTGAACTCTTCCCCTCTTTTGTGCTTTAGCTTCCACATATTAGAGGAAGCATTTGACTTTTGGGATTGGCTTATTTCACTTAGCATAATAGGTTTCCATTTACTGGCAAATGTCATAAAGTCATTCTTGTTCATGTGCTAGTTTCTTTAGATAACTTTATGAAATAAAGAGAATGTAAGCACCAGAAATGGATGGATTTGATTGTCATGTTATATTCTCTGTACCTGTCTTGATTATATTCTGGCTGGAATTTTTCCTCAATGAACATGTTGAACAAATAGCAAGGAAGCGAATTATTAAAGAAACAGACACACATATTTACATGCACATAATAGGAATGACCAGATGTGCTGTTCATCACTACTTATTTTATTAGCAGTTATCTAAAGGTAAAGTAAATTTTTGTTTGTGATCATATTATTCATTCAACAAATCTTCACTGCACATCTGCTGCATGGCAGAATCCTCTGGCATAGCTGCTGCTTTAGAGAGGCTCAAAAACTTACTGATCATCAGATAAATGTGGGGCAATGTGCTGAGTAAAATGGTAAGAGATGCATGCAGAAACTTAGGGAGGTCAAGGGAGGGTGCTTGATCAGCCGGAAACATGGGGAGTACAGCCAGGAAGCTGGTAACAGTTCCTGAAGAAGAGTGTGGGTAAGGTGAGCACCTGAGGATGCACAAGAGAAAATCAGGGAGAGAGGCATGACTCCAGGAGTCCTTAAAGGAAGAGCAGACAGATCTGGCAGGGAGGGTATGAGGATATAAGGAACTAGAAAGGGCTGAATGTAGCTGCAGCATGAAGGGACAAGAAGTAGTGAGGGGTGAAGCAGTGGAGGTAGAGGCCTGGCACACCCTGAGAAGCCCAGGATTTATTCTTGTAGCAATGAGATTTTGCATGACTCCTAGATTAAGAGGCATGACTTTGCTGGATCTGTATTTTAGATAGGTCACCTTTAATATCCGGATAGAACCTGGAGTAGGGGGAGATAAAACCCAGATCAGCAGGACCAGATAGCACAGGTGAGAACTGATGAGAGCCTAGACTATCACAGGGTTATAAAAATGGAAGGATGTCAATGAGAAAATTGCCTGTATATTTTAAAAATACATTTTTATTTTATATTTCCTTATTGCAAGTATTCTTATCATTTCTTTGGGTTCCTCACTTTCTGAATTTTCTTTTGGAGGCCTACAATAGCCCACTTTGTTTGAAACATTTTTACAGTAATTCTGGATTTAAGATGAAAATTGCAACAGCTTGATAGCAAAGTGCAGACAAAAAGAAAAGAAAAAGAAGTGTAATTCTGACTATGCTAAATTCACCTCTGGCAACATACAGATACATAAAAAATGTATTTAAAATTTTAAAAAAGTATTTAAAATTTTATTTGTGAGGTTTACTTAATCTTATCAAAGCAATAAAAAGACGTTAAGATCAGCATTCAGATTTACTCAAATACCTATCTCTAAATTAAGATAAAAATAAATGATCTTTAAACTATGTTTTAGAATATGACATAGTATATAGAAAAATACCTTCAAATAATACTTTCAAAGGCATTCTCCCTGCCAGCAATCTTACACAATAACATTCTTTTCAGTGAATTTTTTTCTCTTTTTTAAACTGGCAAGAGAGTGAGTTAATAACTGCCCCATTTTCCACAGCCATGACCAATAAGTGATGAACGGTACCTTGTGCACAATGAGCTCATGGGTGCCATCCGGAAGGGTCCTGCCATCTTCCTGCATCAGGGGCACAAAGGAGAAACCAAACAACTTCTTCTCCCCTTTCTCCTTTGCTAGAAAGAAAAAAGAAAGAATCACTTGCTTATTCAAGTGCATGTTTACACATGTGTGTTTAAGAAGTAAGAACATTAAGAGATGTAACTGTCCCCACTCTTACCCCTCAACACACAGAGAACTGCATTTATGGTAGGAAATATACCTAAAGTATCCATCCTCTAACCCCATATTCCTGTTCCCAAATATCCAAGTTTCATTCCTTGTCTAAATTTCTTCATAGGACTCACTATCTGAAATCATACTTTAAATTCTGTAGATTGCTTGTTTCTTCTCACATCATCCCTAAGCACCACCGAAGGCAGGTGTTATGGTTTAGATGTGGTGTCCCCCAAAAGCTATGTGTAAGACAATGCAAGGTTTGGAGGAGAAATGATTGAGTTATAGCTTTAACCTAATCGGTGGATTAATCCCTGATGGATTAATTGAGTGGTAACTAGAGACAGGCTGGGTGTGGCTGGAGGAAGTGATTCACTGGGGGTGTGGCTACGGGGTATATATTTGTATCTGGAGAGTGGAGTCTCTCTTGGCTTTATGATCATGATATGAGCTGCTTCCCTCTGCTACATTCTTCCACCATGATGTTCTGCCTCACCTCAAGCCCCAAGGAATGGAGCCAGCCTTCTATGGACTAAGACCTCTGAAACTGTGAGCCCCCAAATAAACCTTTTCTCCTCTACAATTGTGCTGGTGGGGTCCTTTATTCACAGCAGTAAAAATGCCAACTAAAACAGGAGAATTCTTATCTGTTTTATTTTATATTCTCAGAGTGCCAAGAACATAGTAGGCTCTCAATAAATAAATGTTTAATTAAAAAATGAATGAATATGGAATTAAAGATTTTGCTTACTACCCATGGAAAGGAAACTTCCCATCTCTGCCTTGCTCCATGATAGACCTTTCTTCCCTGTATCCATACATGTGAGGATGGTGTGATGCAGGTGAAAACTACTTCCTTGGAATAGGGATGATCCACTGAAAGGCAATATGAATTGCAAGCTATAATTTAATACGGGCTTATTGTAGTATTATTCAGGAAGTTGGAAATGAGGCAATGAGATTTTCTGATACCTAATTAAGAAGTACAATGGCTAGAAATTCTGAGGCTCCTTAGCTACTATTTATAGATAAGGAAATTGAGATCCCAGATGTTAGGTAACTTGCTCTAGATCTTTTAAGTACCATTCCAGTTCTTCCATCTTGCTTTTTTCTCCAAAAAGGGAGAAACTGTTAACAGAACCTTGCTTGTTTAACTTGACTCTCCTTGTACTTAGCCAGTGCAGGGAAGAGCTCTCCAGGGCTTGTGACCTGTTTGGGGGTGGATGGTTATTGTTTCCCATACAAGTGTAGCAGCAGAGTGTTACATTTTAATAGGAAAGTTCTGCCCTGAAAGATCATAAGATCTGGACTAGAAGAGTTAGATATGGTGATCCTGAAGATTACACAAGAGGGTTGGCAACAGCTTCCCTTTCAACTGCTTCTGGCATTCAACCTCAGGGAGTGGACCTCATGCAGAGAGGCACTGGCCCTGAACATGAAGACATTCCTGAAAGTGTGGTTTCTTTTAGGTGGGTCCTTTTGAAAAAAAAAAAGAGGGGGGGAGGGTTCTTAAATCCTTAAAATTATTAATTTCAACTCTAGAGAGAAACTGGGAAAACAAAGTTAAATAAAATTTGAGCAAAGACCTTTGGGATGCAGAGGAGAAGACCTTTATGATTCAGAGGAGAAGACTTATTTAGAAAAATTTCCTAATTTATTTTTTGGTACGGTTTGTGTTAGTTAGAAGCAATTTCCTAATTTTATTTTTTTCTATAGTTTTGGTAAGGTTTATGGTATTCAACTCAGAAAAATAAAGTAACTAAAGATTCCATAATAAATAAAATTAGCAAAAATAAGAAGCAATACAATCGCTTTCCCAAATTTGCCCTCCATTATAAAATAAAATAGATATTAAACAAAGTTTAATGTACATGACAATTTTTCCTGAGCCATTAGATCAGGATTAATAACTTAATGGAATGCTACATACAGTCTGCATAGTATCACCCCCTTTTACTAATAAAATACACTAAATTTGTGCATTCTACCTCTAAACTTCCAATTTATTCTTTCTAGTACCATACTCCAATAGTTCTGCCTCCTGGAACCTTCAATTCACAAAGCTTGCTCTCAGTCCCCTCCTGTCTCAGTCTCCATTTTAATGGTCCAACATTCCAGTTACCTCCTTCCATATATCCTTGGCTTTCTTATTCCTCCACATTTCCATGGTAACGCTCAAGCTGGTTAAATCCAACCTTGAGTTTCTTCTATGCCAAACTAACCTAATTTCACTTTAATGAATGCACACTAACCACAAAGGGGTCCTTCGCTGGGTAAGCCTCCACTCACCTAATCCACTTCCTAGACAACTGTCTTACCTCCAACACCTTGGCTACCCTCCTCACTGTCACCTAATGTGGAGAGAGCTCCCATATACTACAGAACCTATTAACCCACTGCCTCTGTGCTCCCCTGTAATACTGTCAAGTATCCACACTCCTGCTCCTTGAACACTGAACCCTACTCTCCTTATCCCAAGGGCACTGTTGTACCTTCTGTCTTCAGTATCACCTTTCTTCCTTTTGACTGAATTATTTACACCAAATAAACAGGCATTAAAAACTTCATCTTAAAAAATACCCTCCCATGACCAACTATCTCATTATAGTTCCTAACCCATGTCTCTGATCTATTTTCTTTTCCCTTTCTCTTTCCTCTTCCCTTTTTTTCTATAAAATTTTTTTTTTTAGTTGTAGATGAACACAATACCTTTATTTTATTTGTTTATGTTTATGTGGTGCCAGGATTGAACCCAGTGCCTCATGCATACTAGGCAAGCCTCTACCACTGAGCCACAACCCCAAACCCCTCTTCTTTCTTTTCTCCATTTCCTTTCTTTCATAACCTTTATTTATTTATTTTTTATTTTTTTTTTTGGGGGGGGGTACCAGGGTTTGAATGCAGGGGCACTTAACCACTGAGCAACATCCCAAACCCTTTTTTGTATATATATATATATATATATATTTTTTTTTTTTTATTTTGAGACAGGTTATTGCTAAGTTGATTAGGAGCTTGCTAAACTGTTGAGGCTGGCTTTGAACTTGGAAGCCTCCAGCCTCAGCCTCTGGAGCCACTGGGATTATAGCACGTGCTACTGTACCTGGCAGCCTTTATTTTTTAAAAAGCAGTTTCAGGTTTACAGCAACACTGAGAGGAAAATATAAAGGTGTCCCACGTACCTACCCTACCCCGACTCCTGCATCGCCTTCAGTGGTACCAACATCCCCTGTCAGAGTGGTACAACTTCTTCAGCTGATGACTTGACATTGACACATCTCTATTACCCAAAGCCCAGTGTGCACATTAGGGTTCACTTGTGGTGTCATACATTCTATGGGCTTGTACAAATGTACAATGACATGCATCTGTTGTTATAATTTCATCCAGAAATTTCACCACCCCCAAATGCCCTGTGTTCTGCTTACTCATCCCTCCCTCCCCTAGCCCTTGGCAACCACTGAGCTGTATATTCTCTCCATAGCTTTGCCTTTCCCAGACTGTCATGTGGTTGAAATTATACGGTATGTAACCTTTTCAGATTGGTTTCTTTCACTTTGTAATAGGCATTTAAGTTTCCTCCATGTCTTTTCACGGCTTGATAATCTATTTCTTTCTAAGTGGACCTAGATTCCATTGTCTGTATGTACCACCGTTTATCCATTTACCTACTGAAGAACAGCTGGGCTCTTTCCAAGTTTGGGCAATTATGATAAAGCTGCTATAAATGTCTGTGTGGGTTTTTGTGCAGGCATAAGTTTTCAGCTCCTTTAGGTAAATACCAAAGGAGCATGTGATTGTTGAATTTGTATGATATGAATATGTTTAATTTAGTAAGAAACTACCAAACTGTCTTTCAAAATGACTGGTATCATTTTGTATTCCCGTCACCAGTGAATGAGAGTTTCTGTTGTTCCAGACACCTGCCAGCATTTGGTCTTGTCTGTGTTCTGGATTTTAGCTATTCTAAAGGGGTGTGATGATATATAACTGTTGTTCAAATTTGTATTTTTCTGATATATGTATGATATGTGATGTGATGCATGCTTTCATATGCTTATTTGTCATCTGTATACTTTCTCTGGTGGGGTGTTTGTTAATGTTTTTATGCCCAAATTTTAACTGGCTATATGTTTTCTTATTATTGCATTTTAGGAGTTCTTTGTATATTTTTAATATAGTCCTTTATCAAATGTCTTTTGCAAAAATTGTCTACCAATATGTGCTTGTCTTTTATTTCTATTCACAGTGTCTTTCATAGATCAGAAAAATTTTAATTTTAATGAAGTCCAGCTTATCAATTCTTTCTTTTATATATCATGACTTTGGTATTAAATGTAAAAAGTCATTGTCAAATCCAAGATCATCTAGATTTTCTGTTATCTGCCAGAAGTTTTATAGTTTTATGTTTTACATTTATATCTATGATCCATTTTGATTTAATTTTTGTAAAGGATGGAAGGTCTGTCTCTAGATTTCTTTCTTGAAATTGGACAAATATATACTTGTCCCAGAACCATTTGTTGAAAAGACTATCTTCTTATTATATTACCTCTGATTCTTCATCAAAGATCAGTTAACTTATGTGAGACTAATTCTGGGCTCTTTCTTCTGTTCCTTTGGTCTATCAATTTATTCCTTCACAATATCATACTGTCTTGATTACGTGGTTTTACAGTAATTCTTAAACTCGGGCAATGTCAATCCACTAACTTTGTTCTTCTCTAATACTGTGTTGGCTATTTAGGTCTCTTGCTTTTCCTTTTCCATATAAATTTTAGGATCTCTCTCTCTCTCTCTCTCTCTCTCTCTCTCGCTCTCGCTCTTGCTCTCTCTCACCATGACAACATTCAGTTAGGAAGAACTGACATCTTCACAATATTGAGTTTTCCTAACCATGAACATGTCTCTTGGATTCTTTACAGCAAAACTTTTCAAAAGACTTGTCTATATTTATAGCTTTCTCTTCCTTTTCTCTATCTCACTCTTGAACTCACATCCATCACCACAAATACACTAAAATCACCTGCCAAATTCAATGTCAAATCAAATGATAATTTCTCTGTCTTTACCTTATTTATTACTGTCTCCTGACATATCTGATCAATTCTCTCTTGAAAAACTAGCTTCATTTAGCCTTCTGGATGCTATTTATCCTTGATTATCCTTCAACCTCCTGGCTCTTCTTATTGTGACTTAATGGCTCCTTCCCTTTCTCCCAGCTATAAATGTGGGTGAGTGCTCTAGAGAGCCATCCATGGACTTCTCTCTGCTATCTAAACATATTACTCAGGAATCTCATTTGGACTCATGGCTTTTAAAAAAATGTCAAAATTAATGATGTGCTGGAGCTGGATTGTACTAAATCATAAGAGCTGAGAATAGGCATCTCTCTCCAACTCCACATTTGATGAAATCATTTTGGTAGCTTAAAATTGGCCATGGTTGGAGCACTTATGTCATGGAAATCAACAAATGTTACAAATCAAGGCTATTCATGCCCTGAGTTGTGGTCTTTAAATAGTTATAGCAGAATACTGAACTATATGTTCTCATTCCCAAGTTTCCAACCTGGATCTCATTCAATTTCCTGACATTTTGAATATTTAATAAATATCAAACGTCTAAAATGAAATGTTTGATTTTTGTTCCCCAAACAGTTTCCTCCTGTTGACTTCCCCATGTCATTAAATGAATAATTCATTCTCAGGTTAAAATCCTCAGATCATTTTTGACTTTTCTCATTCTTTCACATCTAATTCGTCAATAATCTCTAGAAAAAGAACCAAACCAGTACCATAATGTGACTAATTTAATCTCTTAGTTAAAAAACTATGAAAGCCTCCCAAATGGTCTTCCTGTTCTCAACTGGCCTGTCTACAATCTATCATCCATACAGAAGCCAAACCCTCTAATGGCTCTCCTTCTCATTCCAATAAAATCCACGGAGTCTTTGTGATGATGTAAGAGACAATAGTAGATCTGGTTTCCTTGCTTTTTCCTCCCTGTTCTCTTGCTGTTCCTTAAAAATATTAAGCATGCTAGGTGTGGTGGTACACACCTGTAATCCCAGCGGCATGGGAGGCTGAGGCAGGAGGATTGCGAGTTCAAAGCCAGCCTTAGCAAATGTGAGGTGCTAAGCAACTCAGTGAGACCCTGTTTCTAAATAAAATACAAAAAGGGCAAGGGATGGGGCTCAGTGGTTGAGTGTCCCTGAATTCAATCCCCAGTACCTGACCCTCCCCAACAAAAAAGAAAATGCCAAGTGTGTTTCAAGCTTCTGTCTTTTGTATTTACCATTCTCTCTCTCTGGAATATTCTTTCCCCAGATACTTCAATAGCTCAAGCCTTTACTACTTCTACCTTGTTGTTGACACACCTCATTATAAGAGAGGTATTCCCTTGACCACTTTATGTAAAGTAGCAACATAGTACTATCACTTTCTAGCCCCCAAACTCAATTTAGCCTTTCTTTACTACACTCACCACTCAGTATCCATATATCATGTTTATTTCTATACATATAGATCTATGATAAAGTTTAGTTTTTAAATTAGATACAGCAAGATTTAGAAAAATAACTTACCATAGATTTTAGCAAACTTAGAATATGATTTTTCCCTCCTGAGAACTTTTAACTTTTCACTTAAGGGAAGCAATTTATATCTTCTGCTTGGCATATCTAAAATGCCAGCATCAGTATTCTTGAATTCTGGGGCCATTTATGTAAACTAAAGGTGACTGAACACAAGCACTGTGACCAAAACAGTCAATATGATAATTGAGACAGCCATTAAGTGACTTAATAGGTGGGTATTATATACCATATGGATAGACTGGACAAAAGGATGATTCACAACTCAGGTGGGATAAGATGGGATGGTGCCAGGTATTATCCTGCTACTTAGAATGGCAAGCAATTTAAGACTTATGAATCATTTATGGAATTTTCGATTTCACATTTTTGAACTGAGGTTGACTCTGGATAACTGAAATCAAGAACCACGAAAACTGTGGTTATGGGGAGACTAATGTATCATGAATTTATTTCCTCATCTACCCTCTCTGGAATAAAAGCTCTATGAGAGGGAAATCTTGTATTCATAAATACATCTCCAACACCCAGTCAAGTGCTCAGGTACACTGTAGGTATTCAATAAATATTCATTTCATGAATAAATGATATTTTGAACAAGCAAAAATATTGATGTCCATGTGATAAAATAATTTCAGTGAATATGTGTAGTTTATGGGATTATGGGAATTTTTTCTTCTTTATGCTTTGCTATTTCTTTTGAATTTTAATAATGAACATTAAAACATCTCAAATGTGTGAGCAATGTTTAAAGTACAGGATGAGAGGGCAGAGATTTAACAGATTTTACTGAAAACAGCCTTTGTTCTGCTTTCCAAGTCATGAATTACAATAATTTTCTCCAAATGCTCTCCCCGCTTCCCTGCTTTTTCACCTTTATTTTCCTCTACCCTTTTCTTGCTTTAAAGCTCAAAGCTCATATTAGGTCCAAGTGAGAATTGATAACAAAGACTGGTGGAAAGAACAGTTTTCTATCACTCTAAGTCCTTTATGTTTTCCCATTTCAAGTCCAGAAAGACCAGTGAGACTCTGCTAGCCATCTTCCTGTATTCTAAAACAAAATTTAATTTATAGAGCTTTCTGCACCAATTATGAAATATGCCATAGTCATGGCCACAGATGTAGTCCTCTCCTGAAGAAGAGAACTGGTTGAATTATAGTATCCCTCAGGGGAAGTCGCCATGTATCTCTTGATGGTGCCCTGAGACTGCAGAGGCACAGAATGGAGAGGAGCCTGCCACTTTTCTAATACTGTGATTCTCCTATACTTCTCACCTGCTATATGCCTCTCAAAGCAAGATTTACCAGAATCTTCTCCTGTCACAATGTATATTCTAGGGGTGTCTACAATACATTTCAGGGACACAGGGAATATCAGAAGATTACTGGTCAGAGCTCAGTGGGGGTATGGAGGATGTTTGAGAGCGTGGTAATGAATATAAGAGAATTAAAATAGAGATACCAGGAAATGACAACTTCATGGACAGTAATGTCCACATGAATAAATCTGGTAACATTTCTGTCTTGAGTTGTTCAAATCTGTAAATAAGGCTATTACTTTGTATTATCTGAAAGACCTTTTCCGGCTGACATTATTTGATCCTCATTTCAACATCATCTGACACTGAACAGGGATGCAGATATACACAAATGAGACATCAATTCAAGTCTAACAGGCTTACCAGTGGATGAACATGCACACAAGATTCTGAGTAAGCTCTGCCATTCTGACCAGGAGCTGGATCAGTTCTTGGTGCTACCAGTCTGGTCAGGGCTGCTGAAGACCAGAACCTACCCAAGTTTTAATGCTGTCTCCCTTTCTATCTAATCTTTCTAGACCATGGTGAGCTTTTTATAAAAGCAATCAATTTAAAGAGAATCTGCAGATTTCCTGCAGTTTTTCCCCCCTCTTCTCTCATTTCTTCTCTGTTTCCATAAAGGTTTTTGGCTTTGCAAATAGTGAGCCCAATTCCCTCTCAGGGTTCCCACTCACCTTCTTTCCTCCCTCCAGAAATCTCATTTGTCAGTCTTTCTGCAGATCAGCCTCCTATCATCACTACAGCTAAATGAATATACTATACACATATCAACACAATACAGCCACAGAACCAACCCCAACAAACACTTACTGGAACAATGCCGAAACTCAAAGCGGATGTGTGCGCCCCTGAACTTATCCACAGGAATAGGCAGTTTCAGCAGTTCGGACCACCTGGGACTGTTGTTATGATAAAGCACAAAGGAGTGGTATTCACTAGCTGGAGGCTCTCCAGAGCCAAAGGAGATAAAATCCTAACAAAGGAAACATGCAGGTTAAAGACAGCTTCATCCAAAGGAGTCTCTTCAAAGTGGCACCACAATCAGTGCTCTTTCTGCCTGGGCTCCCCAAACAACACCCCATGTGAAATCACCTCCCCATTCTTTGCCACGTCATTTCTGTACTTGCTGCTGCCCAGTAAGGTTTGTCTGTTTAATTTGATGCTGGTCTTCCAGGGCATGCTGTGCCCAGGTGATGTATGGGAGATGGACAACTGCAGGACCCACTGGAAGTACAAATATGAGGCAAAGTCCCCAGACTGCTGAAGCCAAAAGCCCATTCATGGTCCCAGCAGGTATTCACTGGGCCCAGCAGCAAACACTAAAAGCAACAGGGCAATATACTTCCTCAAAAAGAAGAGCCTCAGGAAAAATGCTTCTTCCATGAAGGAGCCTATTATTATCACCCCAAATGGCAAATAGTACCCCAGTCTTCATGTCCAATTATGGTAAAAAAAAAATTGTAAGATTAAATATGACTCCCCCCAACTTTTTTTTTAGCCAATTGCCAAAGAACAAGTGTTTATACAAAACCATGGCAGATGAAAGGGGGAATAATTAAATAGCATAAATAAATATTACACTTAAGGAATAACTGTTATGAAGAAAATATTTGACACAATAAAATAAAAGCCTTTTTGCTTTTCTATTTCATTTTTGAGAGGCATCCTAATGAGTTTTTAAAAAGAAAACTTGGGCTGGGGTTGTGGCTCAACAGTAGACAGCTTGCCTAGCATGTGTGAGATCCTCAGCACCACAAAAAATGAACAAAATGAAGATATTGTGCCCACGTATAAAACACACACACACACACACACACACACACACACACACACACACACACACACATATATATAAAAGAAAACTATACAGGGTAGAGAAGACAATACTGCAAATCAGAAATTAACTGATCACATTAAAGATGAAGCCAAAGCAATTATGTAGAATAATTTTACCAAAAAAATATCCAGTATTAACGTACCTTTAAGGTCTGGCCACTACTATCTACAATGAACATCGTAACTTCCACATTTCTGGCCACACTCTTCCCTCCTTTCTCAAATTCTCCCCTTTCTACGGTGATATATAAATCATTCCTCATTTCACCTATTAGGAAATGAAAAATAAAATCACGTTTTATATATATATTTGGAAGTGTAATAGTGTTTTATCAGGAAAAACTTTAGTTTATAAAATTTACTGTCATACATATAAAGGTACAAATGTACTTTAAAAGAAGGGTCCCACCCTCACTGCCAGTGCTGAAGAAGAATAAAAGCCAACTTCTGCTAGTCTGAACTCACAATACTACAAATGTGCATTTAAGAGATGAATACCAGGACTGAGAAGGAAGGTGGTGTCCAGTCTCACCATTTGTCAATATTTCCCTCATTTCATTTACGAGGTGTGATTACAAAATGACAGCCTAGCAGAGGTGGCTCACAGAAACCAGTATTATTACTTTTTAGTAACGGCACTTTAGAGTAGAAGAATTACCTAAATGGAATAAAATGATAGGACTGCAAAGAGTATAGTTACAATTTAAATCTTTTCCAAAATTCACAGACAAAATGATCTCACTGCTCGAAGAATCCAGATTAGCACTTTATGAGCACAGATGTAGAATAATTCACTCACACAAATTCAATTTAATATTTCATACCATCAAGCTATAAAACAAATGAGTAAGGCCCTAGATTCAAACCGACATTTTCTAGGCACACATGAACCATCTATATTTTCTCCATTTGTGATTTATAGAACTTGAATGCCTTTTAACCCCACTCTTTTCTTATGATTATAAGAAAAAAAAAACATTGTGCCAACTAGCAAACTTATGCAAATGGTCTAAAAGTATGCTTTTTTTTTTAACTTCTCCTGTAAGAATTAAGTGGCATGGGTGGATAGAAATAAGAAATACATAAATGAAACACTATACTTGAAAATTTTTGAAGATCAATGTTGGTGAGATGGCAAGGCCGAACTTATTTATTATAACTTTCAAATGTTTGAAAGATTAAAAGTAATACTCTTTGAGAAAAACCTTCCATTAGGAGGCAAATCACCAGAAAGAAAAATAACCACATAAATGTCTGCAACTGTGAGAGTTATAAAAGTTTCTGATCAAAGTGTGTTTAACAAAGTACCCCAGCTCTCCAATCCCAGTGTCCTAGTCACCATCTTCCACGAAAACCAGCTTTTATGATAGCATCATTCCCAAATGACCTGGGCTGACTAGGAAACAGATGGGCATAAAACAAACAAATTGAGTAAGTTCCAATAAGTATTAAATCTAAACCACCCTCTGCAAAGAGTATATAAAATGCACGCTAGTGGAAACAATTGATACAGAAATCTCTGGCTTATGAATTTCCGTATTCTTATACAGCTTATAAAACCAACTTGGGAAAGTGATAAATTTATAAGTCCAGGACAAAACCAACACATTTCATGAGTCAGACATCATTAGGTACATGTATGGCTGCACATACAGTGCAACGTACATCATGTACAACCAGAAAAATGTAAAGTTGTGCTGCAATTATGTACAGTGAAACAAAAGGCATTCTGCTATCATACATACCTATTTAAAATAAATAAATTAATAAAAAATATTATATATGCTTTGAAAGTTTTGTTTTAACTTTTTCCATGTTTTTAATGTTTTAATGAATGGTCCAGTCACTTTTGAAAGTTTCCTAGATTTTTTTTTATAACCCATTTCATTTTATTACTATTGAGATGTTCCTCGGTATTCATGAGAGATTGTTTAACGGTCCTCTGGTCCACACCAAAATTCATGGATGCTCAAGTTCCTTCTATAAAATGGTGCAGTATTTGCATATATCCTACACACATCTTTCCAGGTACTTTAAATCATGTCTATATTACTTATGAAATCTAATACAATGTAAATGCTATGTAAACAGTTGTTGTATTATTTAAGGAGTCATGATAAGAAAAATTCTATGTGTTCAATACAGACACAATTATTTTTCTGAATGTTTCTGATTCGTCGCTGGTTGAATCTGTGAATGTGGAATCTGTGGATACAAGGGCCTCTGTGTGTGTGTGTGTGTGTGTGTGTGTGTGTGTGTGTGTATTTAAAAAACATACACAAACACACCCTTAAGGTTATTTTTTAAAAATTCTACTAGAGAACGAAGAGCAAACTTGCAAATTTTGTCATCCAAATCAAGCTACTTAGGCCAATAAAAAAGAACTTTGGTGTGCTAACTGTCTACACACATACCAGTCAGTAAGGAGCTTGGAAGGACATTCTTGACATCAGTTTCCCATTAACAGATGTGGCAGGTAAAAAAAAACCAATAAAATTATTTTGGTCCTTGAAGTAGGTGATGCATCTCACAAGCAAAGTATAAACCAGACGCTGATTAATGGGAAGCATAGCTATAGGGAATTTTACCTAAGGAATTTCTCATAATGAATAATTAGCTTGTCTAACTACACAGGGATTAGTTGTCCTGCAAAAGAAGGACTAGGGTTTTCTTGGGAGAGTGTTTTCCTCACTCCTCTGCTAGAAGGCCACATCCACTTTGACTTCAGCAAAGGCAAGAGGGATGAGGGAGGTCTGCAAGGTACCCTGTTTTCTCACGTCTGTAGGCTAGACCCAAAGGAGGGAAGGCAGGGAGATGACTGCCAGTGTCCCACAATTTTTCTTCCATGTATTCATTCAACAACTATTTCTCGAGCACCTCCTATGTGCCAGATGTACTATTCTAAGCAGTGAATAAAGCAAWCATTGCAGATTCTAGTAAAGGTAGGTCTTTAATAAACTAGTAAAATATACAACACACTGAACAATGTAGCTAAATTTAAGTGAGAGAAGGGGTAGGGGATGTCGAATAGGGGCAGAGAAGGAGTTATAATTCACCATGCTAATGAGAAGGATCTTCATGGAACATCAGAGACCAAAGTAAGCCATGCCATGGTCTAACACAGGAGCAAGGTGATAAATGACACTAGAATCTCATGCCAATCCACAAAGTCTATTTAGCTTCTAACTTAGCTGAATTCTCCTGTGTCTTCATTACAAAGGAGATTCTGAACTCAAGCATGCCTAAAGGCTGTAGGGTCACAGGATAATCAGAATAAGGAGATTTAAGTTCTACTCTCTTTGCTACTACTATATTGTGACATTAGTCTACACAGGACAATACAAAGCTCTGGAAATCAGGTCTTTCCATTRTCAAAATGAGAGTGAACTAATAGCAAAGGTACAGACAAGACAGTGGAGGGACACCTGTCCTTGGAAAGGACAAGGTGACTTTCTTATGCTATTCTCTGACTTACAGAAGAGCTTCCAGAATAGAAGACATCCATAGATTAGAATACCTTGTACAGATGCTTTAATATTCTACTCCTCAAATGTCACCATTCCTGTAAGCCCTCTTATCTTCTGTAAATCCTTTAGACTGAACCAAGATTTCTTTGAAAATAAAGCACATGACAAAAAGAATATTTCTCCTGGGAGACATTCTATATATGCTTCTCTCCAGGAATTCTGCGGCTTGCTATGTTCCAATACTGCAAGGTGCCACATTCTGCCAAAATATGCAAAAGGATAAAGCTGAAACAAGTGCTAATTAAAACTGATGCACTTGAGGAGCTCTGGAGTAAACTAATAAGCCCAAGTGGTGTTAGGAAAGCATCTTGGGTAATTAGGAGAGAAACCATAAAGTGAGTATAAAATGGAGTCATGGCACCAGTGTGAAAAGCTATTTTCCCGACAATGTTTATTAACACCTCACACCTCTCAAATTTATTACTCTGTAAATTTGATGTGCATGACACTCTCCTCTCATTAGCAGGCCCACTAGTTGGGAAACCTGTATACAAGTGAAGGTTTCTCAAAATATTGCAGACAAGATAAAGATAAGGCCACGGCAATGGGAACAAAGTCGAAAGACTTCAGTGACTTCAGTCCAAAGGGTTGATTAATAGCTTGACCTAAGCAGGCACAAGGTTTCCACTAATAGAAGCAAACCCTGAGAGTTGAACATCAAGGTTCACATTTGATTTTGGATTTTTAAATTAGGGTACATGACTGGTAAAGTTTATGCAAATATTCCAAAATAAAAAACAAGAACAAGAACAAAAAAAAACCTCTGCAATCTGAAACACTTCTGGTACTAATCACTTCAGACGAGTTAGCAACTCAGCCAGTAGTGGGAGTCCTGCTAGTAAGAGCAGCAGCAGCAGCAGCATACTTCAGGGAGGACCAGATGTGGGTCAGGTATTTTGTGAAGCACTAGAAGTAGAACCTCTCCTTAAATGCTCACATCCACTTTATAAAAAGGCACTATTATTTCCATTTTAGAGATGAGAAAACTGAAGCAAAGACGTAAAGAAATGTGTCCAAAGTATTATTAGAACCCCACTTTATCCAGGAAAAAAAAATGCAATTCACCAGAGTGAGAATAGCTATCAGGTAAGATGAAACAATCTGCCTTGTCTCTCACTACAAGTGACTTCAGCAAGGAAGGTGTAAGCCCTATATTATTGTGCATTGATCAAAAAAGTCATGAAATACTGATTTCAGTTCTAGGAACCCTCTTTATAGAACAGAAACGGCAAATGATAACATACAGGCTACAGACAATATGAAGAAAGGACTTAAAGTTCTAAGCAAAAAACCTCAAACCAGTGGATAGAAGAGGGAGGGAGAATGGTCCAATGTGAAAAAGGTCATTTTGAGAGGAGATCTGATAATGTGTTCTTTTTTATTTTTTCTTCATTTTTTTACCTTTATTTATTTTTATGTGGTGCTGAGGATCGAAACCAGTGTTTCACATATGCCAGGCAAGCACTCTGCCACTGAGATACAACCCCAGCTTCTGAGGATGTGTTCTTGGTCATCATAAATTTTCAATGAACTGGGCTGGGGACATAGCTCAAGCGGTAG